AAAGGTACATTAAGATGACATATAAATATACATAAACGTGTTTTTAATTTATATTTGTATATTGGTATAATTACATATATATCTACATGAAATATGGGTACATATGGATATATGTATATGCCTATACATACACACATATCTTCCTCTTTAGTCCAGTATTCAGTTTTGGATCGCGTTCGTGTATCAAATAAATTTAGTTTGTTTTTTTTTTTTACTTTTGTTTTTAAATTTCTTGTCTTTCGATTAGAATCAAGTTCTGTTTTTTTTATTGTTTATTTTATAAACGTATAAATGTATATATATATATTGTAAATATGTATATACATATATATGTATGTACATACAATAATAAGTACCTAATTTTCATTTTTTTTTATTTTCTTATTCTTTTTATTTCTTGAATCTTTATCACACTTCATTGCCATCAATTTTAAAAAATTTAATGTGATAGCATTTCTTATACTTTTATAATGTACACGTATATATATATATATATATATATATATATATATATATATGTTTAAGTATGTAAACATGTATGTATATTGTACATATATACATACATATTTATAAAATGCTTACGATGGAGAATATGTTCGTACATAAGTATACAATTAAAATTAAGGCATTTAAAATATATGGTCTTTGGTGCATACCTAATGCATTAATGCATACATACATGCATAATATATTATATATATTTATCTATTTAAGTGGATAAGATCAGGCTCGTGCTTTTCACATTCAATATACATATTTTAGTTCGACAGAGGAGTATATTCATTTCATATACATACATACATAAATATGTATACGTTCCTTAATTTTCTTTCCAAACTTAAAATATAAATTTTCAAATCGCTTATTATTTTAGTCGGAGCGCTCTGGAATTTGATATTCATACACATTTTATATGTATGGCCGGCCAAAACCCCAAAAATTAATCATTTCGTTGAAATAAATTTAGCGTAAATTGACAGACATTCAGCTTAAAATATGTAGCTTATTATATTAATGTGCAGAATTCTGCAAAAATTGAACGAGAGAAATTCAATGGGGTCACAAATATCTCAATATTCAAAAACCTATGCAGGTAGAACAAAAGAACAAACATTTTCAATTTGCATAAATGTGACAAATGTTTTAAAAGCAATCATTGATATTATTCTAGCAAACATTTAATAAATGTCTACATTATTAAGTACCTTTATGGCTTTTAATACAGCATTATTTTTTTTTTTAAATAAACAAAAAAATTCTTATAATTTTCTAGTTTTCCATTCTATATTAAAAAATATACACCTATTTGTATAATAGCCATGATGCATGAATAACTATTTTCGTGCTTTTTTTATTGAATTTTTTCTTTTTTATTTTTCTTTATTGCAAACTTATTCTTTAGTTTGTTCTTCTTACTTTCATTATATTTGAATAACTAATCGAAAAAAATAAGAAAAATTTTCTAGTATATTTCCTGTACATTATGCCATCATATTTTTTTTTCTTCTTGCTTTGCTCTTTTCTTTATTTTCGGAAATAACTATTATTACAAATCACTATTATTATTTTTCTTAGTTGATATAAATTATACCTACATAGTCACATATACTTATGTACATACTTATGAATATACTTAGGTGCAATATAAATTAATTTCTAAGTAAAAAAATATTTTGCACAAAAAAAAGTGCGCTTTTTTTCTAAATATGTGCGATAATGAATTTTTAATTTTTCTCATGGGTACATAAGAAGTGAGTAATTTTTCTAGCTTAACTATTTAATTTAGGTATAGGTACCCGAATGTAATGCATAAAATAATTAAATACATAGATCCGTGTACGTATAAAACAATACTGTTATTATGTACACAAAAACTGTCAGTCAGTGACAGAATGATATTTATTGGGAGATTGAAGACATACAACCGTATGAAAAATAAATAAGTAATATCAAAAGAAAAGAAGAAAAAAATATAAAAAAAAAACTGAATTACATATTAAATAATTAACAGAGATAACAGCCATTTAAAACGTTCAAATAAATTTTTTTGTATATTTCAATTGGAAAGCGTCAACACTATATACACATAAATATATGTATGTGTATATTATAATAAAAAACTATAGAAATCGTAGCAGATTAAATAAAATGATAATTATTGCTTTATTTTGGTTCATCTTTACTATTTCTGATAATTTATATATTTTTATAAATTTTTTTTTAGTACATAGTAGCTTAAAATTTTTACTCAATAGTATTTTCGATATCACAACTCAATAAAATGTAATATAATGCAAACATACCCAATTTTATGTAATTTAATGAACCGAAAACAGTTTTAGCGTTCTGTTTAAGAGTACTCATACTCTCTAAACGTCTAAAACACTGTAAGTAGTAAAACACTCTCTAATACATCAATTAGAACAAAAGCATAGTAGTTGAGAAATTTGGGGAGAAAATTAATTACGCACATTATTTCCGGTAGATAATTCCGATATGATGCTATGAAACTGGGGCATAATATCATGTACTAGCCCTGTGCTCCTCCTAGGAGTGAAGAAGGAAAAAAAATGGATTCTGTAGATGGATTCGAATTTTTATAATATAAAAAATAGATGCCAATTATTTAATTTTGGAATTGACTTTTTAATTTATATCCATATATTAATTTTTATTCCTAAACAGAAATTCCAGACAAAACAGAATTCATTTGATTTTACTACTGCCAAAAAATTTTAAGTACATTGGAATATTATATTCTTGTAAAAGGATCTGAATGCGAAAAAAGGAACAAAGAAATAAAAATTTAAATTGATCATATCATTTTATATAGTGCCTTATATAAATAATTAGTACAAGTAGGCATTTAAGGCGGTATTTTCTTTAAACGAAATATTTTACTACCTGGATACTTTAAATAATTTAGAATATTTTAAGTAGGTACATGGGTATGTACTTAAAACTGAAGAGGTTAATTTTTAATTTCCGTAAATTTTATATTAAGATAACAATTAAAAAAATTATTAAAGATAATGCCAGTTAATTTTTTGATTAAAGCACACGAATTAACGGCAATATACTCAAGCATGTATATATATATAAAACATATACTTATCGATGATTTTTCCATTCTTTCTAATTACATTTACAGTAAATAGAGCATTAAAAAATTTATTTGACCAGTTTTAAGGTTTAAAACAGGTATAAATTTAGTTTGTAAATAATAACAAAAAAAAAAAAATAATAATCAAATTCTAGATTAAGTCAGGTAGATTATATTAAGTCAGGTATAATATTCCTAATTTTAATAGATTTCAATTTTTATTGTTTGTTGTCTTAATTAGAAGAAAATCAGCTTTGATAAAGTGCGTATGTAGCGCACGAAATATATTAGTGAAAATAAAAGTATTTTATTAAGAATAAAAGGAAGTTTTCTTTTCACACCAATAAAAAAAAAAAAAAAACATTAAAACAATATAGCCTCACTGGGAATATTTAAGAATAATTTAATTATTATTCTATTTGCATTGAAAATGAAGATCGAACAATTTTAAAATAAGATACAATATGTTACAAAATAATATAAATTAAAACCCTACTAGGAAACTGTAAGCACATGTAAAAATATAAAGGAATCAAAATTATAGAATTGTAGATCACAAAAATAATCTTTAATATAAAATAAATTTAACCTTGAACTCGGCTATTTCATTAACTTTTTATTCAGCAAAACTTTGTATATACCATAAAATATAACTTTAGGCAGTTACACTTAGTGTCTGTATACAAATTACAAAATTACAAATTATTTGTTGATAGTGCAATATTAGATTTTTTAATTCTAATTTCAATTACTAAGCGATTTAAATGCATTGACTAAATAAGCATATTGCATAGTACGATTTTTGTGATAAGAACTTTTTTCTCCTGAATTAAGAGAGGCGCATAAAATTTTACAATTTTCTTCTTTTTCCAATGAAACTCAAATGTAATATAGTATTAGTTTTGTATTTTAAGATAAAATTTCCATATAAGTATATACCTTGTTATATAAACATACGTATGTATATGTATATATACATAAGTAATATGCAAATAAGTAAGTAATATAATCGAAACTTTAGAATAAAACCTGATCAGTACTAATTCATTTTTTTTTAGAATTTAATTTTTTAATTAAATATTTTAATTTAAACAAATCTATATACAATAATATTAATAATTTTAAATCAAATTGCTTACATCATAAACTCGTTTCTTACTCCTCATATCTCTCTGAAATGTTTTTATAAATATTAAACAGATATCATAATTTTTTACTTCTGTATTATAAGGGACATTTTAAAATTTTATAGGTATTTAACCAAATTTTAAACAAGTAATTCAAAATTCGATCCAACTTCTTTAGAAAATGTCTACTTAATGTCATGTAATTTTCTATCAACATAAAAACTTCTTGTTACCATCTACATGTTCTCATAAATTTATCCAATACGAGTAATATTGGTCGGTCGGCATTAAATCGGTTAAATGTAAAAAGAATCGAAAATCACTAACATAAGATATGCAAAAAATTAAAATTTCTTCATAAATATAGAAATATAACAATATCAAACTCCCGGTTAGACGGATTATTTTAGAATATAAAATTAACATTTTATACATATTTTTAAATTGAAAAATTTTTTTTTAAATAAGTATGATGTTATAGATGGAGTACATATGTACTTGAGTTTTATAAATTATACTTTATTGTAGAATATATCAAAATTTTTCGTTTAAAATACTTAATTGAAATTGAACAAAACTATATGATATATTTAAGTAATATGTGCTACCGGCAAACAAATTTAAAAATTTTCACAAGTTAAAAGTTACACATAATTTTCGATACATCGATATGTATCGATCGTCACCTCCACTAAAATTACTAATCATTTAATTAAAAACAAAATATTTAACATAATTAAAATTAAATAAAAAATTATTTTCTTACTTACTCTTTTTAAAATTCCTTAAAATTATATGGTGTATTTTTTCGTCTAAGATTCCAAAAATTATTTTTTTTTTAAATAATACTTAAATAAAATATTTATAAGGCACTCATTATTTATTTTAATAACTTGAACCTAGAATAATGATTTTATTAAAACAATTTTTTTTCCAGATTCTGATTCATTTAATGTTATGTAATGTTATATGTTATGTAAAAATTACTTCACTAATTTTTTTTTTTATTATTTTTTAAAAAACCGAAAAAGATAAGGTGAAAGAAATTTATCAATATATTAAAATAATAGTTTTTTTTCTCTCTCTCTCTATATTTATTGTTTTCAAACTTCTACTTTAAAAATAGCAAAAATAGAAAACTATTAAAACTCTAAAATAAATAAACATAGAAAATAGACCGCTTACAAATACACAATATTTATATATATAAATTTTATATAAGTGTACATGTTGTAACTATAAATAAAGTTTTATGAGAAAAAAAACGAAAAAAATATAAAAAAAAAAACTCAATCTCTTATCAATAATTTGTGGTGATGAAAATAAAAAATTATAATTTAAATTACCTACTTATATTAAATAGTATGTACATATATATATATATATGTATAATGGATTATTATCAAATAGTATAAATAAATTAAAATACTTAAAAATCGGCGCGAAAAATTTTAGAACGCATACTAAATATACATAAATTTAAACGCGTATGCTTACATACATATACATATGTATATTTACTTGTACACTTGAAATAGAATTAATAATTACATTTTGTAAATTAAACATTTAAAGAATATTGCCCTATATGATTAAGAATAATATTATTCCATTCCATTGCTTTGAAAATGAAGATCGAATAATTTTAAAATAATGTACAACATGTTATAAAATAATTAATTAACACATCACTAGAAAACTAACTGTATATACTTATTATTATGTAGGTATCATGAGAAAAAATATTAAGGAATCAAAATTATAGAATTGAAGATCAATTGTAGAAAATAAATATTAATTTTACATTAATGTTAGCGTGAATTTTAACATGGATCAAAGTGTTATATTAATTAATATAAGTATTCAGTATTTTTTAATATACTTTTGATTACATTTACGCGCAGCAAAATAAAACTAAACCAAAAATTTCAATTTCGGAGCCTAAAAATATTTAAAGTTAATATTTTTAATTGGAAGGTGAGGAAGGTAGGTATACACTATATACATGTACCTACTTATAGTTTAAAATTAAACAAATTTTACATAGGATAAATAAATTTTGCTTTCATATTTTCCGTATAGAAATTACAAGAAATTATCACAGCAGCACAACAATATAAACCGTATATTGACATTAAATTCAAATTCTACATTTTTATTGACCATATATTAAATTTATGCTACATATATATATATTAAAATATTAATTAAAATAATAAATATATTTTATAAATTTAATATGGAAAATAATTAAAATAATTTATATACATATATATGTATGTAGGCACATATAAACAATAACTGGAAAAAAAATTCTTATCAATAAAAAATTTTTTTTTCTAAAATTTCATTTTTTATTTGTAATGTTTTAAGAATTGCAAATAAAAATTCTCAAATAAATAATGATTAATTAAAAATTCTTAATTAATATTTTATTTAATTAAAAAAGTAAGTGAAATTTTTCATGTTTTCATTTTTTCTTGTGCTTAAATTAAGAATTTTAATAAACATTGAGTAAATCATAAGGTACAGTAGGTAAATATGTAGGTAGATAGGTAAAAGAACTGTATATGAATGCACATATGTAAGTAAGTATGTATAGGTATTATATTAAACGTAAGTAAATATGTACATTTTAAATAACATTACTTTTATAATATAATAAATTCAATATTTTATTAAAATAAATATTTGCAAAAAAAAAATTATCACTTAATTATAGAATATTTTTTTTCCTGCTTTTTTAATTTATTGATTAATTTCAATTTATGTAATTAGAAATTTAAAAATTTTAAAATTATTTTACATACACTTATTGAATATTTTGTTTAACCAAATTTAATATTTAATTAAATATTAATTTGCACAATATAAAAAGTTATTTAAAATAAAACCCCAAATTGATTGAATAAAATAAAATTTATGAAATTCTTATAAGAACATTATTTTGAGGTTTTGAATTTTTTTATACAAAAAAAAATCGCGGATCACCGCTTGTGATAATAAAAAAAAAAAAAAAATTTTTTGTTTTCTTATATTTTTTTTATTTTTAAATTTTTTTTTAATATTTTCTCGTGTCGAACTTAAAAAAAAAAATTATTATTTTATTTATTTTCTTTTTCTTAATACAACCGAATGCAATAAAGTTAAACAGCTTACTGATGACTAGAATCTAAAGTCGAAAAATTGAAAAGTTAAAAAAATTGAAAGAGCGCTTTTATATTTTTTTTTTTTTATTTCTGAATATGACAATTTTTTATTATTATTATTTTTTTTTTTTGTAAATTATTGTATGTACATAATGTATAAATTTTTGTTTTACAGTCTCAATTCACAATGGGCTTTAATACTTAAATAAATTCCAAGTTTTGTTTTATGACATTTTCATTTTTACTGTTTCTTTTTATTTTTCTCCCGTATTTTTTTTTTTGGTTTAGAATGCCATGCCAATATGCATTAAATAAATTCTATACTGATCTTTAAACACCTATACGAATAATAAAATTGATATAGGAAAAGTATGAAAAAATTGTATTTTTTTAAGTGTGTTTGTAAAAAATAAATGTATTATGCGTGCATGTGTGTGTGTATATTATATAATATTGTACTCAAGAATGGTCTTCTCTATTCCATTTCAATTTATAAAGAATTGAAAAAGAATGCTCCTGTTTCCTCTCTTTTCAATATAAACGATAAATTTGCACATATACATATGTACTTGAATATCAATGTTTGTTAAAATGTTTTAGACCAAAAAAAAAAAATGATCATGTTTTAATGTATAGGGTAATAGAGTTTGTCATATTCCTGTAGAAGATCGTATAATTATGTGAACATATCTGACAAAATTTATTCATATGTACATATTTCTTTTAAATGAAAAGAATTATTATTATTTCATTATAAGGGCGCAGGCAGACACGCAATTTTAAGTATTGCAACTGGTTGATTGCTTATTTGAATTCCGTAAGTTTATATTCAGGTGCGCGCACATACAACTGTATGATCACATGCAATTAATTAATCAAACAGTTTGTAATTGTGCACTTGTTATTTAATACAATCGATTGGAAATCGATTTTAAGAAATAACTTAGTTTCTTAAATGTGCACGCAATGATTTTACAATTAAACATTAGTTGGAAAATTAAAAGTTGTATGTCTGCCTCAGCCCTTAGAGTTGAATTCTTGTAAATCGCAAACTACATAATTACAAATTAAATTGCATAAGTACATTAATATTGACTATGGAATTGTACCTTGCTGTACTTGTAGTATTGTTGTAGCTACATCCATTCATATGTACATATAAAATGTATATATACGTGAGCTAATAAAAATACGATATTTTTGCGTTATAAAAATTAAAGCGGTAATTAAATTCAGTTTACAAAAATGACAATATTTTAATTAAAACAATATATTTAGCAATCAAGCCAAATCTAAGTCAACTTAACCAATTCTCATTCTATTTTTTCTGGTATTTTTTAATTTTTTTTTTACTATAAATACAAATAACAAAAATTATGCAGAAAAAGTGTTGTAGGTATTCACTAAAATACAATGGAACAGTACAGTAAATAAGTTCGCATAGGGTAAATTTCATTCTAACATTATGTAAATACATGTATTTAACGTACTTTACAATATTTTAATATTTTTGGATTTTAACAATTTCAATTTGGGCATAATAAAGAAATTCTGATATTTTTTACCAATTCCTTTACTTGTAAAGTTATCTTAACACAAGATACTAAAATCATTATAAAGTGACGATTAAAATAACTGGACAAAATTACCTTAATAAGTGTATTTTTACATTTTCTGAGCTATAAAAAGGAACAAGAAAAAAAATTTTGTTTTTTTAAAAACATAAAAAAAAAACTTAAACATGTGCTTTTTAATTTTTTTTAATTGTATTTTTACGCTCTTTTTTAGCTTTTGTGCTCACTATGAAGAGAATACTATATCATACCGTGTCTTATGTATTTTAATTTTAAAATGATTATTATTAAAACCCGTATTTGTATCGTATTCTTCAGATACTCATTCTCATTTTGGAATCTCATTTCCAATGAGAATATTTACTGGTATAAAATTCATATATTTGTGAATAAAACATAAAGAAGGAAAAACGAATCTATAAAATGGAATGATCACCACATAGGGCAATATAGACGAATTGTCTGTTATATTCCTATAAAACACTATCAACAAATTTTTACTCCAACAGTACAATTAAATAGTTGCCATGTTAAACGACACTATGCCGAAAAAAATATTGAATTGAAATATTTCATTAATCATATATATAATACATATATACCTACATACTAAGGGATTATTATATTAAATTATTTTACTTTAATAAGAGTAAACTACGGTTTTGGAATAATTTCAAGAATTTAAATTTAAAATCAATAGTACATTGTTTGGTTATTCTCACATGTATAAAATTAATATTGAAATTATTTTTAACATTTTATTTTCTTAAAAATGAAGAAGGCTCAACTTTTTATTTATTAACACCTTTTTTAATATATGTTAAAATACATATTAATTGAAATCTAATTGAACTGTTAATTCGAATGTAAATTATGCAAATTAAAAAAATAGGTGTGAAGACATAACAAAAATCACCTAATATTCCACTTATATTTTTAGAAATTAAGTTATTAATATAACGTTAATTAAAAATACAATTTACATTATTTACTTAAGATGCTAATAAATTTGCTACGGAAAAAAATGTTTAAAGTAGACAAATAAATGTTTTTTTAAACAATTTTTTAAATATTTTACACTATCAATTTAAAGTGCACTAAAATTTTTCATTGTAACTAAATTCAGAATCATGAGTGATTATACTAAAAAGGTAATATTAATATTTAAAATTTCTTCTTGTATCAAAAACTTTTCTTTTTATAAAAGAAAAATAATTTTATTTCTTTTATTCTTTCAAAAAAAAATTTTAAAAAAATATCAATATAAAATATAACAATGAAATTCAAAACTATGTAATTAAACCTTTCTTATTCTTGTAATGAAGAAAATGGTGTGTTGCTATTTTATGTGGAATTGTATTTTCACGCAATAAGTCTGAATTCAAGGCTCTTGAATAACATTTAATCAAAGAAATATCAGATTCCTCCGGTTCTAAATAAGCTTGTAACGATCCCAAAAGCTACAAATTCAAAAGAAAATATCAAATTATTGATTTGATTATATCGTTCTTAATTTTTACTGAACGATGAACATACTTGATCTTCTTTACAATTCAAAAATCTTAGAACAGATGCATGTTCAGACCAAACCATTTTTCTCCATTTATTATCATACTTTTGTGCCAACGGAATCATTACTAATGAACTAAATAAATCATCACCATAGCTTGCCGCTTGAAAATGATCTAAGAATAGCACATATAAATTTTCAAATTTGCTTTTACCTAAAAAAAAAAATTTCAATATTAAAAATTTTATAATTTTATTTAGAACATTTTTTTTCCTCTATAACTTACTCACCTTCAAATGTTCCACCAAAATTGAAATTTGTATGCAAATTCATTTTGAAAAAATCATTTATATAATCTTTCAATTGTGATTTCATATCGGGTTCCAAAAATATAGAATCCTTACCCATAAACGCTATCATAAGATACATTAATTTTTCTGTCGGAGAAATAATTTTCACTCCATTTTTCTCCAGTACATTCGTAAATGTTAAAGTAATTCTCACTATCTCACTTTCAGGAAATTCTAAATAAATTTGAGTCATCACAATTTTTTAATAATATTCAAAATCAATAAATATTGAAATTATTATTTACCTGATTCTTTTTCCACGACTTCCGTAAGAGGATTTTGTAAATATTTGTTCAATAAACTTTTAAGTAGCATATATGGCCAGTCGCATGGTAAAATTGGCTCAGGAAAACATGGTAAACATAACGATATATCAGTTGGCGACTGTGATAATATTGAAAAATTAAACATAATGAGTAATAAAATATTTTCTTTGAATATAAAAACATTGTTTTCCTTACAATTATGATACTGTGCGGATAAATAAAAGTTTCTAAATAAACTTGTTTCCAATTTTCTAAGGATCTATTTTCAAAATTTAAATATTTGCTATTAAAAATGAATAAATTGAATAGTGTTTCAATTTCAGTTATATGTTCCACAGACATACAACTAATTAAATTAAATGATGCTTGTAGTAATTCCGTTTTATCAAGAAATTCGTGAAATCCTTCAAAGCATATCAATTTGTAGATTAATGTAATTTCACTCTTTGTAATGAAATTCGTTGCTAATTTTTTATTAACTTTAGATGAAATCTTTTTCAAATAATTTACAAAAATTTGAATAATATCAACTTGTAGTAAATTTAGCATAATAACATTATTTCTCTTTTTAAACAATGTTTCAGTTAAATTAAATAAATTGCTTAAAAAATATATTGGATAACATTGCGATATAATTAACTGTGGACCACTAGAGTGTATTAAAACTGTCCCAAAATTAGGAAGCGGTGGATGTACATTTCGACGATCAATCGAATTATATTTCAAAACAATTGACGAATGCCTGAAAATATTAACAAATATACTTTTGCTTATTGAAAATTTCTATTTTAAGTTAAATTATTACTCTAAAGTTCCTTGGAATTCAATAAAAGTTTTTGAACAAATGAAAGGTTTTAAATATTTTTCAATAAATTCATCAAAGCCTTTGTCATTATATTTCAAATACCAATTTACACAACTAATGCATGATGATAGAAGATTTGATTGGGAAAACTGAAAGAAAATTGTTAAAGAAAATTAAACACAAATATAAAAACTAAAATTAATACGTCTTTAATGCCACTTTGCTTAGCGGTGTAAAACCATTTTGAACAACACATAACGATAATATCTGTTAAGCTATCCTTTGCTTCATATGATGGCCTACTCATAACAGCAGCTAGTAATGCCGACGCATGCTGTCTAATTAGAAACGGTCCTTCAGCCTCATACTGTGCATGCTGATAATGCCACTCTAACATGTAACGAAAAGCTGGCAATAACGATCTTAAATTATTTTTTTTTAATTTTAATACATAGTACATAAAGTAATAATAAGAAATTTTACTTGTAAAAATCTTTATCAGGCTTAATATTCATTATAACACGAATAATTCTTAAACTTTCTGTCTGCACTTTTATAATTGGACCCTTTAAAATATAAAACGAACTCAAAAGTCAATGTTTTAATGCAAAATTATTAAAGTACCTTTATATCGTCTCTAGTATATAAATAACTTTTGATTTTATTGATCAAATCTAATGATTCCAGATTTATACATAAAGAAATATGTTGGGAAATTATAATTCGGATCAGTTTAAGAACTAAATGTTGAGGATAATTATAAAATTTTGGTTCACTTTGCACATCTAAAAAACATTAATAAAAATTTTAACAACAAACAAAGTAAATAAAAGCTTAATTTTTACCAAGTTGTTGAAGTATTGGCATAAAGTTTTCTATTAGTAATTGTACCAGTTCCTTATGGGAAACAATTTTTTTCGCAACATCTTGATTTGTTCTTGCCAGCCTTATTAATATTTTAAAGCAGGAAATAGTAGTGCTGTTCTCTGGTCTTATAGTTTTCAAAATGTAACTGAAACCAAGAAAAATAGTTACTGATTGAATAAAAAAAAACTAATAAAATTTTACTATATTCTTTGAATAATGTTTGTACGTAAAAGGCAATCAATCATATCATTTTCCGCTAATTCAAAATCCGTCATGGAAGCTTTACTTTCATTTTGCTCTTCATTTAATTTTGCACAAAATGGAGTTTTGGATAACGTCATATTTTTCAAATCAGTTTCAACGCCCTCGCTATCATCTGTGCCAGTTTTTTTATTATTTTCAATAATTGGTTGTAAGAATCCCTCTGATGTTTCAAAAATAAAATCTAAAACAGTTTCGTCTGTTTCATTATAGAATAATGTACTAAGCCCCTTATATACAATTTCTAACAATGAAACTGTATTTTCATCCGCTCCATACCGAAGCAAAAAAAAAATTTTTGTCAATGGCAATTCTAGTACGTTATCATAAAACCCTTGATTATAGAAATTCAATATTCCGTAAATAGATCCAAATGCTGAACATTTTTGTTGAATGATATTGGACCTAAAAAAAACTGTATTTATGGATTTATGTAATAAATTTTTTTATAAAGGAAAGCCTACCTTGCTAGTCTAAACAGTTCTTGCAAAGTATAGCCAGGCCTAAAAGACTCATTACCGTGCATATACAAATCGCGGTCATCTTTATTATTATCTTTTTCTAAATAAGGTAAAAGAACACCTTTCCAATCAAATCTAGCTTCAAAAGGATCAGCTGGTTTTATATTATTTATCATATCAGGAATATTTTTCATCCATTCAAATTTTTCTTTCTCAATTATATTAAAATTAACCCAATTTTCAGATTCGCTGGCTTTAAGTATGTCCATAACAGTGGGTATTTCTTCTACAAAGTTTGAAATATTATCGATTTCGATTTCAGAAATGTTATTGGTTTTAGTATTCGTTTGCTTATCGAAAGAAGAGTCACCAGAAACAGTATCAAAAGATTGTTTGCTATTTTTTATTACAGCTTTTACAGCTTCTACACATGCATTGGCATCTGGATTTAATTTTCGCTTTTGTGATTTAATAAATTCCAAAACATTTGAATCAATGCACTTTAGGAGATTCTCTCTTTCCTCACGTATTTCTTCTTCGGACATTTTACTTAAAATATTTACATTCTCTTCATGTACCGACATTCCCGTTTCTTGATCTTTTACAATGTTGCTCTTATCGCCGAATATATTACCTTGAACTTTCGTATCTTTACAGGCCTGTGCCAAAAAAGATTTTTCTGGGTTATTTTTCTTTTCCATTGAAAGTAAAAACAAACTTTTTCCGGGCACTATCGGCATATCATAAGACTCTAACTTTTCAATTTCAGGAAAAGCACTATCTGTTTGATAGCAGTCTTCGAAATCCATCGGTTGAACTGATGGTTTTTCAATTATATTGCCTATGATCCAGTTATTTTTCTTTGATAATGAAGGATCATTTTTTTCAACCACTTCACCAAGTGAAATGTTCTTCGGAACCGGTTCATAATTATAGGCCTTATTATCATCGGTATGTTCACTTTTCTTCCTCTTTTGAGAAAATATTGACTGCTTTTTTTCTGAATTTAAATAAAAATTTAGTCTATATACAGCTGATGATTTAAAATAACTTTTAAAAATACTAACCTTTGCCCATTTTCACAACTTGTGCAGCCGGTTTAAAAGCTGTGCCTTTCGATTTTAAAGAAAGAAATTTGTTTTGCATTTCCAAAACATCATCTTCAGTGTCAGTTCTCTTAGGTCTCTCCATAATTATTTAGATTTATTTAACAAATTTCTCTCTAAAAATAATATTAACAAATTCTCAAAAATCACACAATTTGAAAAATTGTGTTTTGTTTATATTTTATTCTAACATCAAAATATTATACTTACATTATATACGACTGACAGAAACACACATGACAGATATTTTTGTTATGTCAACAATGTAACGCAAAATTGACAGCTTCGAGAATGACATTCGTAATGAAAATGAAAAATTTAATTTCGAAATTGTAGTGTTATACATAAATCAAAGCAGGGATGAAATTTTTATACAAAATTGAATATATACAAAGCTGCGAATCTGCGGTGTTGATAATTATTCGAAAAGATAACAAGAAAAACAATTTAAGAATAAATCAGTTTCGCTTATTTATTCAAATAAAAATAGATTTTTGTTTTTTCAAATAAAAATTTGTTTAATTCAACACGGAAAACTAAAACAAAAGTATGACTGCAAACTAATTACGAAAAGAATATTTTGAATTAACATAAATTTTGTTGATTTCAAGTACATGAACTTTTTATAATTATGTATTTACGGTTATTATTTAGTCCTGTCAATTCGTTCTACATTCTGTGTTAATAGCCACTTCGGGAACTTTTGTTAAAGCATTTTTTGCTATAATCACTTCCAAATACGAAAAATAACCAAATTTTTGAAATTTTAATTTATTTATCGAGAGTAATTTTGGGGTGAAAATAACACAATAAAAATTATGTCGCAATATATAAATTAATTATTTTAAGTATACATTGTTCATAATGCAAACTAAGTTAAAGAATTAAAATCCAGAACTTATTTAAACAACATTATTGAATTTTGAAAAAGATTCTAATCCGAAAAAATATTATTTTCATTTTAAGAGAAAGTTAAACTTAATTTGGGTTTCAGCATAGACAAAAAATTTTTGAGTAATTGAGTAACTTAAAGTAATTAAAATTCATCCTAAATTTTGAAGAATAATCATTAACTATAATTTTGTGCGCCAAATGTGTATTATAGATAGAACTCAAACAAAATATGGTAAATTCTCAAAAACTCTCACCACATTCATTTATAATTTTTCTACTTGAGTTTCAATGGGTTAATTCTGAACCAAAAAATTTCATTCGTTGTCAAATTTTTTTTTTCAAAAACGCAGCCAATGTCATTTATTTGACAATTTTCACCTTTCAATTAAATATACATATTACATATGCATACATAAACTAAATTCAGGTCCGTTTTTTTTTTGTGATAAAAATTTTAAGTAATCAAATTTCAATTTCGTACTTTAAGAAATCAAAATTAAACGTGTATTATAAATTTTTGGTGATTAATATTAATTCTACTTTCGCTACGATTGTACATAATATAAAATTAGCCTAAAGAGAATAATAGTGAAGTAATGATAAAAAGGTATTTTGGAATGAGAAATTTTTTCAATTAGTCAAACAAAGAAAAAATAATCAGGGAAGTGTTTTAAGGGGAAATAAACCAGCTGAGTAGTGCAATATCAAAACATTCGGTAAGTAGGCATATAAAGACAACAAAAAACAAAACGAAAAGTCAACATTAGAACAACAAAATTCGCACAAAAAACTGATTTTGTTTTTTCTTCGAAAAGTCAAGCCAATAACTTGTCATTGAAAATCAGTCAACTTCAACACAGTCAAAACGATTTTTTTTTCACTTGCATTTTTTTTTTACATTCTTGAATTTAAATAGCCAAAAACTAAAAGAATTAATTAATTTAAAATATCCAGAAAAAGTCACAAATAAAATTTTTTAAAAAAAAATTTAAAATTTTTAAAGATAGGCTAAGGAAAAAATAAAATAAATAAAACGAAAACTTTTGTGCGTAGATTATTGTGCAAGAAACGATGAATGAAATTTACCAATGGGGTAAAATACCAACTTTGGCTTTAGAGAATATTTTTTCTTATTTGGATAGGAAAAGCGTCCTAACAGCTTCATCAACATGTTTACATTGGAGAAGTGTAGTTTTTCAAAAGAAGTAAGTATAAACATTCTTATATCTACATAAATACATTAAATTAGTTTTGTGGAATTCAATTTGCGACATATTTTCTTTTGCCTCATAAAATTATATATATTTTATGTAGTTAAATTAGTTAAAATTTATTTACAAACATACAATATATACAATATTTTGCTTTATAATCAAAACGAAATATGGAAAATAAAATTATGTTAAATGTAAAAATTTGCTGCAGTGGAATATTCAGAAATTTAATTTTACAAATTCTGTATAATACGAAAAAATAAATAATATTATGAAAGAAGTATGTATGTACATATCTACGTACATATATATAATTTTGTATATACATATCTAACCTACTTTGAAATATGTACGTACATATGTACTTTTGTAGCTACACAATGCATACTCGTACAATGTAATAAGTACAGTGCCATACGGAAATTTTATTACAATTTTTAAAATTTAAAATTTCAATAAAAAAGTAAAAGATTTGTACAAATAAATTAGTTAAAATTTATATTAATAATAAAAATTAATAATAAATTAAAAAAAAATAAAAAATATAATTTAATAAATACAAAAATTAATGCTATACACCATTCCCGACCCGGCTCAATCATTACAAACAGTTACAATAAAAATTTTTTTTTCAAAATTTACTAATAAGTGATTAAAAGATAGCTCTTTAGTTAGTCCTCGATGCTAATATTGAAAATTGAAATAAATTGCGTAAAAAATAAACAAGTTAACTTCATTAACGTCATACTTTGTTAACATTAATACAGCTTGTCAATAATTTAAATATTAATTATTAATTAAAAAAAAACAAACACATTCCTAAGACAAGGCTTTTTATGTTATTAATAAGATAACTTAGTTGAAACTTTATTCTGTCTAGTAAAAGGACCTTAGATTTTCTTACAAATTTCAATTGCATCTCTTAAATTGCTTTTTAGGTTGGTATGTATCTGTCAACCTAATCTAATCTTATTTTGTTTGAAAAGTAGCAAACAATTGTATTTCTTCATTTTGAAAAAAATAAAAACGTAGAAATATTAAAATAATCAGATTGAAGATATCGCAATTAAATAGATAGGTACTCAGTTTTATGAAAAGAGTATAATTATTAATTAATATATGTAAATGATTTTCAAAAATTTTGTATTGAACTATAATACTGAATATTGAAAAAATACTTTATAAATTCCATACTTAAAATAGGTATTTTTTTTTTATTGTCAAGTGATTGCTTATGTAATTATAGGGCGTAAATGTTTATAGAGTATATGAATTTCTTTCATTTTTCAATTCTAAATTTTTCTATTAAAAATATATTTTATAATCATATCACTTTTGTCACAGACTGTTAAATTGTATATAGAGATACATACAGATATGTATTAAGAGATAATAATATGATTTTCAAATAATAGATTTTCAATATTATTGATTGGAAAAGGTAAAGAGGGGATTTGTCAGTTTAAAAGTTTGAAAACCTGAATTAGTGTTGTAATAACTTTTTAATTTTCAATATTTTTATATCATGAGTAAAAAGATATACCTACCGCATATAAGGTATTGAAAATTTCAAATTATTTTTATTTATATTTTTTATTATTTATGTTGCATTTATATTTTTAAAATACTTTACATTAAAAAAAAATTCAAATAACTGTTATCAAACTATTGTTGGTTTGTTATGATAGCGTAGCGTTGTGTTTAAATAAAATTCCAGCATATTGAGCTTTATTTTTAAGGTTTTCAACAGTTTATAATGTAATTTTTCTGTTCCCAGTAACAGAAAATATAATTATTTTTAAATATAGAGTGTATAAAACTATAATAAACAGAATTTTATTTGTACAAGCCTCTTATACAAGGTCTTGTTTTATTGACCATATTTTTGAAACAAGTAGGCAGAAGACAATACGAAATATGTATAAGGGCATCGCGAAAATTTTTTTAATATCCATTACTTCAAAAGTCAAATATATATTCGAAAGTCAAATATATTTTGTTCATTTTATAATGTACAAAATTCCTTTAAAACTGTTATATTATGCTCATTATTATATAATGAATATAAATAAATCCAGTGAATAAATTGCATTAATGAATTCAATGTTTTATTATGTATTATGGACAATATTGACCAATTCGACCTGAATACGTGATATTTAAAAAATTTAAAATTAAGTATTCACAATTTTTGGTATCAAGCCGAAAATAAAAAATAAATAGAGCCAAAATAAATGATATACATACACAATAAAATTCATACAAGTATGTATGCACTTAATAAATAAATATTATAAATTTTTTATTAATTTTAAAATTTGCAGATGTGTTTAGATGCACTTGCTGCTGAATTTTAAAGAAAAATAATTATATAAAATTAGTTTTTGCAAATTTTTCATATGACAACAAAAAAAAAAAATTTTTTTTCGAATTATATACCCATTCAATGTAATTTTTTAGTTTTTTTAAGCAAAGTAAACAAAAAAAAATAATTAAATCAACATTGAAGAATACTGTGAAAATTTGTAAACTTGAGTACCTTTAAATATGTACTTGGAAATAAATAAATTAATTTCTACCTCGTCAACATATTACAATATCTTGTAATGCCATTTACATATTGTTATACATATATTATGTCGGTAGATACCTATATAAAATAGAAAAAAAATTATTTCATTTAAATTTATTTAAAACAATTTATTGACCTCATTTATTAAGTTTAATTTTATAGCATTGCACAAATCACAATAATAATTTTCGCTTTTGATTAACCAGAAAATTTAGTTGAAAACTAAAAGTCTCATAAAAAAATTGATTTGAAAAATTGCTGATATTTGTCATTAAGTATAAGTATATACACTCATCCCTCACTAAATCAAACCGTAAATCGAATCTTTTTACTTACATTACGTTACAACCACATAGGTATTGTACCTAAACATATATTTCTATTTTACATAGGTACATAAATTTCTTGTTAATTTGCAAAAAATATAGTAGGATTTTGTTATTTGATTTTATTAAATTGTAATTTTTTAGATTACTTTTTTTTTTGCATTTTAAAAATTTTGCGTAAATCGATTTTTTTTCCCATAAAAAGAGACTTTGGTTTAATTTTTGATTTCCGTATAACGAGCTTCCGTTAAGCGAGGGATGAGTGTCTACATTTATAATTCAATAAAGAAAATCTTTGAACAATTACCGATAAAAAGCAATAAACATTTATCATAATGGTAAAAGTATTTGGTAAAAGGTAATGGTAAAAACATAATAGTAAAAGTAATTAGACAAGAATATTTACCAAGCATATCTTCTATTTTTTTAACATTATTTTACTAAATTTTTATATGTATAACCCTCAATTGTATTTATTCTGGTAGTAAATTGAATTCTTACATATATTTCTTATTAATTCAATTTATAAAACTATTTTTCATATATAAATAATTTTTAAAATTATTCTTATGTTGCAGATTTTTTACAAATTTCAAATTCAGATTACAAATTGATGATGATAAGCAATGTCAATTTTTTCTACATTGTTTAGTAAATTTAGTCAGTGAGCTTACAATCGTTTTTGATTTTTTAAATGTTTATCACATAGATAAAATCAGACGAGTTCTTTACAGGTATTAAAATATTAAAATATGAAGATAAGTTACATTTTTCACTTAAAATATAAATTTAAATTTTCAGAATTGTGAAATGTGATCAATTGCGAGGAATTCGTTTTGAAACAAATTCTGTGGGATTGCCAGTGCCAGGTGAAAAATACCAAGATGAAGATCTAGTCGATGTTGAGAAGTAATTTCGAAATTATCATATACCTATTAAACTAATAATAATAAATATGTATATTTGCTTTTTTTTTTGTTTTAGAATTTTTGTAGAACCATTAAAAATGTTATTATCTCGTCGCCGTTCATCTATTAAAATATTTGATTTAGGTGCAATAGAATGCTTAACATATTATGCAGCTGACTTTTTAAAATTATTAGCAAAACCGCAAGATCTTGAAGAAATTACATTCGCATCAATTAAATTTAATCCTAGTTCATCTTCTATGCTAGCTCTGGAGCATATGTTCTTTGAAAAATGTACATCTTTGCAGGTATACATTACTATATTTTAAATAATTTTAAATTATATTTTTAAATTCACTTTCTTTTTTAGATTTTATCTCTTGATTATGATTCTGTCACTGATGAATTGTTAAAAACTATTCAAATACTTCCATTAAAGAAGTTATTAATTTGTATACATGAAGTGGATAGAGCACATCCAGGTATTTCAGAAACAGCTTGGGCCGAATTTGCCAGTAAATTCAATAAAATTGACTTGATCTTAACACTAATTTATGCTTATGAAGCCGTTGAATTATTACAACTAAGTATTTTAAAACGAAGTATGCCAGTAACTCATTTGAGAGTTTTGTTTTGCAATTTTGTAAGTACATTTATTGGGTTAATAATAATTTAATAACAAATAATTAATGAAATTTATTTCAGATGAATGTTGATGCTCTTGATGTTATGTCGATGTATTATCAAACAACATTAAAAAGTGTACAATGGGTGGATTCTGTAAGTACAATTAAGTATATGTTATAAATGTATAAAACCTTTTTTTTTTTTCATTTTTGTCTATTAGGCTTATCAAGAAACCGATCGTAATGTAATGGACTTGTATATGAGATCAGGACAAGACCCGTTCGTTATGATGTCATGGCGCTGTAAAAATTTGGAAGAGATTGTTATACACGGATATGTTTTAGATCCGCACAATTTAGTTGGAATATCAAGACTTTGCGGCAAAAAATTAAAAAAGCTAGAAGTATCTATGTTGGATTCAGCACCAAATGCTAATATGATGGATTCATTTATTGAAGTAAATATATTCATTTACATTTTTTTTTCTCATAAATGTACAATATTCATTTTAAAATTTAGGAAATTAGTTCTCAGTTGGGTCAAAAATGGCGACCTTTAAATTCATCAAATATACATCCTGCACTTGGTTTTATTCACCCTACACATACAGCTGACGATATACAAAACGAGTATATTTTAGATATTATAAGAAGAGATTTATCAAATTAAGAAAATAACAAATCAAAATATTAAAAAGAAAGCGCTTGAACTTTTCAAAATTTATATTTTATAGCAACAAATAAAATCTTAATATTTTTTTTTCTTTATTTTCGAGTAATGAACGATCTAATCAGATATTTGTGGTCAGGGAATTAAAAATGTGATTATAAAATTTATTTATTTTACTTTATTTTTGTACAATTATTTACCATCTACAAATTATTTTAGAAATAAAAAATAATCATGTATAACAAAAATTAGTCAATAGGTTTTAAAAAAAAATAGTAAAAACAAAGCTACTTGTAAATTATTATGCGTTTAAAATATGGAACATTTTTTTTTATTATTTGCTTAGTAATATGTTACAAATTCATAACAATAATTGAAATTTTGTAATGTAATACTGTACATTATTTTTTAACTTGGGAGCCAATTGTTATTTAGCTGAAAAATTAATTAATTAACTATTTGATTTTTTTTACATTGGTTCATAATTTAATATTACATTACAAAAATTTCTTTGGCGCTTAAAAAAACAAAGACGAAAACCAAATAAATATAATATGATGGTTGGAAAAATCTAAAAACTTCAAAAAATTATAATATAAGAATCTAAATTTTTTAATTTGCCTATAAAAATTAAAGTAAAATTTACAAATTTGATTGCGATTTAAACATACATACATAGAAACCATTTGCGTTCGTTAACATTATAAAAATTATTTAATATTTTTGTTTATGATTATGTATATCCTATATTTATTTTATGTTACTCTTAAAATAACTCATAAGGAGCAAATAACCAAACAATTTGCAATATTACTATTAAATAATTTTTTGTTTCGTTTTTTTAAGATTAGTAATATTCAAACGAGTTCAAGAAAATGTTAAATTATTAATATACATAAATGAAATGTATAAATAATAAAAAGAAAAACTATACAAAAAAAAAACATATTATTATAAAATTATTAAAAATCTAATTAATATAACAAGAATAACAAAGAAATAAATAAACGTATAATTAACAGCACTGTGATCAACAATGAATTATTAAAATTAAAAACACTTTAATAATATTGAATAAGAATACAAGAATATATTAAAATAAATTGCGTTTAAAAACATTACAGAATAAATAAGAATACAAATATCTACTATTAAACTTAACAAAAACAAAACAAAATAATAATAAAATCTAGCGTAGGAAGAATTAATATAAAGAATTATAAGTAAAGGAACTGAATTTTGAAACTAGATAATTCCAATTTTAAATAAAAAAGAAAGCATACAAAACAAACTATAAAAATACATAAAAAATTCCATCATGTATATTATTATATAATATATAAGACCGATAATCTAACGAAAAAATTTTAAGGTATATACTTTTAATAACGATATTATTGTTTTTTTTTTCTTCTTCTTTTTAAAAAACTACTTCCATCAAAATGTGATTTTTAAATCAATCTAGAATAATTTTATAAAAAAAAAAATTACGAAGTTTCTTAAAAAATATGAATTTTAAGTAATTTAACTTTTACTATTTCAATATTTTAATAATAATATATATTTAAAAAATACTCTGTATTTAGTTTTAATTCATGTATCTTATTATACAATTCAAACAAAACGAATTTGAAAAATATTTAATTTTTATTCTATAGTTTCAAAAATATTTTATAGAATTATATATTTCAATTTATTTAATTAAATTATAATTTTCCTGCCTTCCTGGGCATTATCAAACTTTTTATTCATAATTTATTTGCAAAGCATTATGTAATTTTTTTTTATATTATTAATAGTGTACATACAAAATATCAAATCCTAATAGTTATCATAGGATGAAATAATATCATTTTTTTTGGAAAAATAATGTTTATACAAGAATTTTATGTTTCCACTATATTTACCATTTTGATAATAATATATTTTCAAAATATTCAAAATTCGTACATTATTAAAAAGTTAAAAATTTTTAAATCATAAAATATACCTAAATTTGCCTCATTTTTTTATTTTCTATCAAAAATTTTACTTTTACCTTCTTCAAACCAAATTTCATTTTAATTTTGATTATATTTTATCTAATTTTAACTAATTAAATTTTTATATACCTATTAGAAAATGAAATTATAATATCTTAACTTTTTGCTTATTTATTTTCAAAACTAACATTAATGAAATGACTATTTTAGCAAAAATTTAAGAGCGAACCAAAAATTATAAAATCAATAAGAGAAAAAGATCAACATAAGAAAATATTATATAACGTTTAAAATCAATATATAAGTATATTTTTTATATTCTTGTAAAAACTTCTAAAAAATATTCAACAAACAAAAATTTAATAACCAAAGCTTGAATTAAGCTTCAAAAACAAACAAGCATTCGCAAACAAGAGACTATGAAGTAATTAAAAAGTATTGTTAGAAAAAAAAAACAATTTATAACAAAAAACAATAAGATGAATTGTGATTTTAATTAAATAAAATTAAAAAAAAAAAATTAAACCTGATAAATTGAAATGCAAATTTATGTTTTACGTTTAAATAATGGTGTTTTATGTAGAAAAACATACAAAAAATGAATATAAAAAACATTATTAAAATAAAATAATGTACATGAATTAGAAACTTTTATGTTTAAATTTAAATACAAAAAATGAAAAAAAAAAAAAGTTATGTAATGAAAAAGTTACTATTGAAATTTTTTTTTTTTTTTTTTGTAAATTATTTTATAGAAAAAATATTAATTAAAAATGAAAATTAGACTAAAATTTCTAATTATTTTAATCGCACCTTATTAGAAAATTAAACAAACAAATCAAATTATTTCCGTAATTTTTATACTAATTCTTATTGAAATAAAAAAAATATTTATATGAAAAATAAAAAACAATTAGATAAAAAATAATAAAAAAAAAATGAAAACAAAATTTAAAATGCTACTTTTAAAAATAAAAATGAAATGCAAATCGACAAAAAATTCATATTTATTTTAAAAGTTATTGAAAGTATTTCGTTGAAAATAATGATTTTATTTTTTTTTTTTTTGTAACTTAACTTTTCTTATTTAACAAGAATTTACAAGTTAAATTATTTTCACTTTTTAATATGTATAATCAAATATTAAATCAAATTTTTGCTTCACAATTGCATTACAATCTATTTACAAAATCTAAATTAAAAATTGTTCACTAATTAATAACTCATATTTATTTAGAATCAATTAACTTATACGGAAATATAAAAAGAATTATTTAAAGATATTAAAACACTGCTAAAATACTTGTTAAACATTATTTCTTATTAAAGTTTAACATTATTCTTATTTCCATAAATTTTATGAATATTTCATTGGTATTCTGTTTGACAAATCATTTGTGAAAAATTGTTCAAAAGCATTGAGGGTCTCAGTATAGAATATCAAATTGTAAAATTTATTTATACTTAAAATTAGAAATATTTGAATAATAAATATTCCATCACGAGAAGTGATACGTCTAACAAAATATTTAGGTGAACAATTTGATATAAAATATAAAAATTTGATTTAATATTGATTTTATATATAATTATATTTATATAAAAATTAATTATAAAAATTGCAATTTTATTAATACATATATTATATTATATTTTTTAATTATGTAGATCTTTTTTTTTTTGATTTAATATAAAACTATTTTTAAGTTATTGCAACATATCGTCTAATTATGTTTTATATCATTTTTACTTTTCAAATTACACTTCAAAATGAGAAATCAAATTTTGAAATATAATATATACAAAATGTAAAAAAAAAAAACAAAAAAAAAAAACAAAGTCATTTTATAGTACAACATTAAATTTGGCTCAGTTAAAATAATTATTATTAAATTTAAAAAAAAAAAACAATTAAAATAATTAAAACCAAATTGAGCTTATATAATATAATATAAAGAAAATTTCGGTCAGATAAAATCAGATAGAATTTAAATAAATTTTGATAGGGCATAAAATTGACAAATAAATAACAAAGAAAACAAAATAATATATCAATTATATTAATATAATTTTACGTAAATCGATAATTCCATTTTAAATGTTAATAGATAAAATTAAATGTGCAATGCGGATTGCTAGCTTAATATACATTAATAATTAATTGCTAGATAAAAACAAGAAAAGAATATAAGACAAAAGAAAACCTCTTAATTTTTTTTTTTTTTGTTTTTTTAATTTAAGATCTGTGTATAGGTTATAAAATATAAATATAAAAAATTGATAAATAAATGAATAAATAAAGATAGTCAATCAAAGCATTAAATAAATTAATAATAACATATTTAACAAAAAAAAAAAAATGCTGTAATGTACAAAAAGAGACTGAAACCAGAAATGATATCTAAGCGAATAATTAAAATTCATTTTTGTTTTTTTTTTTTTTTAAATATTTTCGAATTGATGAGAAATTGTAAAGAATGAAATTTTTATTATTTATTTTTTCATTAAAAATTAACTATGTATTTATAGTAGATCATAATAGTTTAAGAAGAAAATACTTCTAAAATGTTTTCAATATAATTTTATTTTACTTTTATTTAAAATATATAAAAAAAACATATTCATACAAATGTGTCTTAAATTAGTTAACAATTTCTTCTTTCAAAAAACAAAAAAAAAAAAAAACAACCAATATAAAAATTCATTATTTTATAATGAACCTATTAATTTCATATAATCTTTTTTATTATTCTGAAATTTTCATTTTTATTCAAATAATTTATTGGAATATGTACACATTATATTCTTATTTTAATCCTATCATATACACATGTATTATAAAAATTACTTAAATATTACAAAAATTACTTAAACCTATATAGTCAAAATATACATTTAGATATTGAAAAAAGAAAAAAACAGCCAAAATAAAAAAAACATCAAATTTTTTATTTTTTACATTTTCACAAAAAAAAAAAAAAACAATATTATTTCGTGATTATTTTTAAATTGGAAGCTCAAAAAAAAAACAGTAGATATAAGCTCAAAGTAATATAATAAAAAATTTTTTACATTTTAAATTTTAATAAAGCTTCAATAATGCACAAGTCATACTTTCAAAAAAACCAAAAAATGTATTTTATTCTGATCTAGAATATTATCTAGAATATTATCTAGAATAATCTAGAATATTATATATACATTTAAATTTCCATTTAGCTGATTTTATAATAATATTCTAAATATATTTTATTTATCCTTTAATTTGAAATTGTCATTAAACAAATCAATTATATCATGTTTACATTTTCGTAATATTTAAATTTTAAGCAAATTCTATACACAAATCCTATTTTTTTAATATAAACTAAATCTAAAGCTTCCTCATTTTTTTTTTATTTAATTTATTTCTTGTACATTATAAAACAAAAACCATAAATGTATAGTACAAGAGTACCTTACGGATTTAAAATTCAAAATCTTTCAATATTAAATGTAAAAATTATAATATCTTTTATTATATAAAAAAAAAATAAAAATTTAGAAAGGAAAACAATTTTTTTTAGCAATCCACAAAATAACAAAGAAACAAATTGTGATCTTATCAAAAATCAAACAAAATGAAAGAAAAACGTTGCAATTTAGAATTAATTAAGAACAAAAAAATGAAAAAATGTTAGACAAGAACAATAAAAGAACATTTTTTTTTTTTAAATAAAAATTTAAAAAATTAAACAACTATTATGAGTATGTTCATAAATGTATCGTAAATATGCATAATAATTAAATAGAATAACTAAAAAACAAAAAAATAAATAAATAAAATACTTAAAAAGATGACAATGTGTCAAAAAAACACCATTGAATTTTTGTAAAATCTAGTTCAAAAGTAATAAACAAATAAAAAACAAATCGAATTACACTAAAAAATAAAAATTTAAATAAATTTATTACGACAAATAAATAAAAATTAAATGTTAAAATATAATTAAAACAAACACAAAACTTACTAACTAACTTAACGAAAATCCCAAAAAAAAAAAAAAGATAAAACACAAAAAATTAAATTAGTTTATATTTATATACAAACAAAAACAACAAAATGTGATATAAATTATTAAAAAAAAATTAAAACAAACATTAAGTAAAAATGTTAAACAAAAAGGTGATATTTAACATACAAAAGAAACAAACAAAACAAGCAAATATGATGAATAAATAATAAATATTTATAAATTAAGAACGAAGAATTTAAAACACAAAACAAAAAAAATAAATTAAACATTAACTATTATAAAAAGAGCAAAATAATTTAAATGAAAAACAATAAATATATAATAAAAATCACACACATATACCTACAAATTATATTATATTGCTAAATATTACATTTATTATTATTATATTTAACTATTTTTGTTATTTTATCTTGACTTAAGAAACAAACAAACAAAAAAAAAACATATAAAAAAAAAACA